AAAGGCTAGGAGGAGTTAAGTGTGTAAAAGTGATCGGGGATAGGCCTTTTGCCATGATATAAAACAGAGGTTGAGATTCTGGAAAGAGTGCAGAGAAGAGTAACCAAGATGATTAGGGGACTGGAGGCTAAAACATATAAAGAATGGTTGCAGGAACTGGGGATGTCTAGTTTAATGAAAAGAAGGACTAGGGGAGACATGATAGCAGTCTTCCAATATTTGAGGGTCTGCCACAGAGAGGGGAGGGGGGGTCAAGCTATTTCTCAAAGCACCCGAAGGCCAGACAAGGAACAATGGATGGAAACGGATCAAGGAGAGATTCTTTGATGTGACATGATAGCAGTGCTTCGATATCTTAGGTTCTGTCCCAAAGAAGAGGGAGTCAACTTCTCCAAAGCACATAAGGATAGAACAAGAAGCAATGGGTGGAAACTAATGAAGGAGAGAAGCAACTTAGAACTAAGGAGAAATTTCCTGACACTTAGAACAATTAATCAGTAGAACGATTTGCTTCCAGAAGTTGTGAATGCCCCAACACTGGAAGTCTTTAAGAAGAGATTGGATAACCATTTGTCTGAAATGGTATAGGGTTTCCTGCCTAGGCAGGGGGTTGGTCTAGAAGACCTCCAGAGTCCCTTCCAACTCTGCTATTGTATTGTATTAACACAGTATCTTCACGTAGGCGAGAGCTTGGTAACTGATTGGGTTTACTGAAACAAAATGAGCATTAAACAGCCCCTCCCAGGAGTGTCATGTACAAGTGAGCTTCCCGACATGATGTTAAGATGATTTAGGTGCCCCATCTGACAAAGGAGATTTCATACTCCTTTAACTCAAGAAGGCAGAGATCTTACACAGGCCGGGAAGATTTTTACACTGGATTATACTGTAGACATGGATCAGAGGATATTTGAGTCGTCTTACGGCCAGATTAGTCCTTCGACATTTGGAAGATGAATTTATAGTCCCCAAATACTCAGGGGATGGAAGACCTGCTGTTACTCACAGCTCATGAGTGAGTGGCTTCTACATGCTGAATTATCTGTGGATGTTTACAATGAAATACAGTTGTATTTCTGTAAATATGGTTCTGAAAAAGTTCACATTCAGGTAGTCTATGGCTTAAACAGTTCATTTAATGACGGCTCAAAGTTAGGTAAAGGTAAAGGTTCCCTTCGCATATATGTACTAGTCGTTCCCAACTCTAGGGGGCAGTGCTCATCTCTGTTTCAAAGCCAAAGTGCCAGTGCTGTCCGAAGACGTTCTCCGTGGTCATGTGGCCGACAAGATTAGACGCCAAAGGCGCACGGAACGCTGTTATCTTCTTTTATCTAGCAAAGGTGGTTCCTATTTTTCTACTTGCATTTTTTGAACTGCTAGGTTGGCAGAAGCTGGGACAAGTACCTGGAAAAATCATGCTAGGGTTTATTTTACGGTTGGGTCTTGTTTTGGGGGAAAATACGGTATTTATCTCGACCCTCTTTCCCTCTGCAGAACCCCACTTTGTGGGCTCAGCGTTTGTCCAGGAGAGCAAAGGCAGCGATATCGGAGATGACGACAAAGTCTACTTCTTCTTCAGCGAACGAGCAGTGGAATATGATTGCGACATTGACCAGGTGGTAGCCCGTGTGGCTCGGATCTGCAAGGTAGGCCTTGGTCCTTCTCTTTCTGGGGTGTCTCAGGGCTGGAAGGACTTCTGAACAAATCTTGGGGAGTGAGCTTGTCAGAGTTTGTTGCAGAAAAATCAGATCCAGAGAGCACACACATATAACTGATTCAGTTGGATTCATTAACTTCTTCATATGCAAAATAACAGGTGAATAAATGTACAATACCAATAGTAGAGTTTTTCAACGTGGTAGAAGTTACAAGCAGAACACAAGCAGGAGAGAACAGTTTCATTTCAGAGTTCAGAGCAGACAAGTTTAGACTAGTTTACTTTTCAGAGCAGCAAACTCAGAGCTTACAAACTAGTTCCAGTTTCAGTTCTCAGCTAAGACACACCCCTACTCCAAGCTTAAATTTCTGTTTCCAAAACAGCCCTCATTGGCTGACCCAGTTGCTATGCCTATTCATTAGCTGATCTATTCCAGTCTATGAATATTCATACTCTGACAGAGCTTTTCTAGGACAATCTTAGGGGAGATGGGAATGGCCTGTGCTATGATCTGAAAGCTGTGTCCAAAATTCGGACCTTTGGCCACTGGTTCAGATTTATGATGGTTGCAGTATCCTAGGGTCATGGCAACCAGCATGTATTTATGACCATTGTTGTGTCCTGGGGTCATGAAATCACTTTTTGTAGTCTTCTGATAAGCAAATTCAATGGAGAAGCCGGTTTCACTTAACAACCATGTTAACAACTTAACAACTGCAGTAATTCACTTAACACCTGCGGCAAGGAACATCATAAAACGGGCCAAAACTCACTGAACAACAGTCTCACTTAACAATAGAAATGTTGGGCTCAATTGTGGTTGTAAGTCAAGGACTTCCTGTAACATACGGTGATTGGCACCCTACAGTCTTTCCTCATGTCTTTTCCTAGAGCAGCGTTTCTCAACCTTGGCAACTTGAAGATGTCCGGACTTCAACTCCCAAAATTCCCCAGCCAGCGAATGCAGGAATTCTAGGAGTTGAAGTCCAGACATCTTCAAGTTGCCAAGGTTGAGAAACACTGTCCTAGAGGTTGGCATGGAAATTGCAGTTAGGTGCAGTTGGTAACTCAAGGGCGAGAAAATAGCATCTCAACGCCACTTGGGTACAGAGGGGAGATTAAAGGCTGTTATTTTTTGTTTGGTGCAGGGCGATGTCGGTGGTGCCCGTACTTTGCAGAAAAGGTGGACGACGTTTCTGAAGGCCCGGCTGCTGTGCTCGATTCCAGAGCAGCAGCTGCACTTTAACCGGATCCAGGGGACCTACACGTTGAACGGCGATCACTGGCGTGAGACCAGCTTTTTTGGGGTGTTCCAAGCACGCTGGTAAGTGTTCTGACCTAGAGCCTGAAGCAGACTCCTTGTTCCAACGAAAAAGCCCTTTATTAATTTACTGTGAATTCTGCTCATTCACATCCAGCAAAGTCTTTCAAGGGAGGATTTACAGTCACAGACCTTATCTGTCTTGGAGAGCTGCCAGGCTGATATCTGCAAAACTTGGCCAGGAGTCTCAGAGAGTCATGAACCAATTAAGCGAACTAATTCTCCTGCAAACTCCACTCCCCTTTCACTCCTCTTTTATTTTCTCTGGGCGGGGCCATTCATCGTTCACCTGTGGCCTTACTCCCAAGTCGACCCCAGTTCTTTAGTTGTCTCCAACACTGGACGTTTTTAAGAAGAAACTCTAACAGGAATAAACCTTCTCAAATTTGAACCCTCAACCGCCTGGTTTTCTTTTCATTTCCTGCAGGGGAGACGTCGATGTTTCTGCGGTTTGCCAATACCAGATCTTGGATGTGCAGAAAGTCTTCGAAGGCCCCTACAAGGAATACAGTGAAATTGCTCAGAAGTGGATTCGTTACTCCGACCAGGAACCCGTTCCCCGTCCGGGCGCTGTAAGTCCCATGTCCCCACCCGGGCAGGAAACACCCCCCCCCCCCAAAAAAAAAATTGCTGGCTGGGGTATTCTGAAAGTTGAAGTCCATCTTAAAGTGGCCAAAGTCGAAAAACACCTTTGTTGTAAGGAAAGTTTTGGTTCGAGAGATGGGAAAAATAAAACAAAAACAGGGAAAGGGGACAAAGAAGAGAAAATGCAATGCATATAAAAATAAAGAGAGGAGAAATAAGATTTCAAGAGAGCAGGATAAAAGGCAGATAAGAAATCACTAAAAATGGGATCTTTTTAAAAAGTAAGAGATAATGGATAAGAAGGAAAATGTTAGTAGAAGAGAGGTATAATTCATAGGGTAAATACTAGTATAGATATATAAAGAGTTAGATAGGTAGATGGGAATGTGGAGGTAAATAATTTGATAATATTACTAATTTTGAATGTAATTTGAACAATGTTGGGAGTTAAAAATATTACCGATGGGGGAAAGGGGAATTCATGAGATATTTTTCTGAAAAGAAGAAATAAGGTAAACACATGGAAAATTTGGGTTTTTTTAAAGATATAAAATATAGAACATATGGTGATGTTAACTATGTATAAAAATTAAATGAGAAAAGATAAATAAATATGTAAAGAGAATAATATGATTGAAGTTGGCATAGTAAAACTAGGGTTAAAATGATTAATTTGTAAAGATTAGGGGTTTAGCAATGATATGTAAGCTTAAATGAATTAAGGAGGGGGGAGAAAAGTTTATATAAGAGAGATGAATATTGATAGAAGTTGGGAAATCAGAATATATTGAAATTATAATTATAAATGAGATGTATAAAATGTGACCCCATCAAAACTCTGTCTATAAAGTATGTATGATGGGGAAAAGGAAAATTGCAATAAAACTTCATTAAAAAGAAAAAGAAAAAACTCCTTTGTTGTGACCTGTCAGCTTCCTGCCCCTCCAGTAGCCAAATCAAAGGAGGAGGAGGAGGAGGAGGAGGCGTGGGAATGAAGGTCAGCATCAAGATAACTTGAGAGCTCTGAGGGGGAAGAGGGAATGGAGCTGTCAGAGAAAGAGAGAGAGAGGTGGAACCTGGGCTGTCCATCAGCTGTCAGATGGAGAGTCAACAGCCCCCAGGTCTGGCGGTGGCTAATAAGGAAGAGGAGAGGGTCCAGTGCCTGACACATAGATGCACTGAGGGCAGAGGAGAGGAGAGCAGTAGAAATCTATGGGCCGGTCCTTGGGACAGAAGTGCCACCACTACTAGTGAAGCTCCACCCTAGTTCTGGGGATAAAAGGCAGGGGGCGGAGATGAATAGATGGGGCAGACAACTATTGATCTTCCAGCCAAACAGACTTGTTAGCCTGCGGTGAGAGAGAAACTTTTTATAAAATTAACAGATAAAGGAATCTTTGCGTTAACTTCAGAGGGTTTGACATGTTTGGGGAGCTAGGTCAGAACACACTTCTGGCCCATCCCTATCAGGGAGAGCCCCTCCTCTTGAATTGACCAGTTTTTGCTAATTCTCTGTACATGAAGCTCTAACCTAAACCCTGCTTCCGTCCTCTTTTTTTTGTTCCAGTGTATCACGGATTGGCACCGGTACAACAGTTTCTCCACTTCCCTGGAGCTTCCAGACAACACCTTGAATTTTGCAAAGAAGCACCCCCTGATGGATAAGGCTGTGCCCCCACTGGGCAACCAGCCTTTGCTGGTCAAGAAGGATGCCAACTTCACCCAGCTGGTGGTGGAAAGAGTCCACGGTTTGGATGGCAAACCATACGAAGTGCTGTACATCGGGACAGGTATGGGTTTGAGGGAAGCAAGAAAGAGTCCAAAATTGCAGCTGTGTCCACCTACTTTGACTTTGACCTAACGCGTTTCACTGGGTCAAAGTTTTGGCAGCTACATTTTTGCTGCGTGTTCGTTTCTAACCATAGTTGTTTTATCGAGAGCCAGTTTGGCATAGTGGTTAAAGGCAACGGGATAAAAACCAGAAGACCAAGAGTGCAGAGAAGAGCAACCGGGATGATTAGGGGATTGGAGACTAAAACATATAAAGAGCAGTTGCAGGAGTCTGAATACTATGAAATTTGGGATAATTGGTATAAATGGTTGCATAACAGGAATAAAGTTAATTCAGCCGAGAAACAATAGAGAAATGTATAGAACTGTAAATGAATGTATATAAATATAGAAGCGATATAAGATTGATATGTACAGGTATGATAACAACGTCAATGTGATGATTGTAAGATGTTATGGAGGGAAAAAACAATAACAAATCTGCTTTTTAAAAAAGCACAAAAAAAGGAAGTCATTTTGTGCTTTAGCACATTGGTCTCACATGAGCCTTTTTATGTTGGCATTTAAGTGATATTTTCCCCATATCTTCTGCTGACTCTATCATAAAAGTTAATCGGAGAAAATAGTTTGCATTATCTTGCCAGGCTTCAGTTCTGCTAGTTAAAAATTGATCAGAGGCTGGAGANTTCTTATCTCTATATCTTTATATCTATATAGCTATCTCTCTCTATGTATATGTCTATATCTATATATCTATATCTATCTATATCTCTCTATCTACCTACCTAGCTACCTACATACATACATACATACATACATACATACGTGTGTGTGTGTTTTCTATATATATGGCAAATATCACTCACTCATCATGAAATCTCTAGAAATCTTGGCTTCTAGGTACTCACTAAGAAAGGCTTTTTCTAAATGACCATCAGATCATTAGTATTTCTTATACAGTAATTAACACACTCTGATTCTAAGGAATTCTATTCCCCCTCCCCACCTGACAAGAATTCTGTTCCAACTGCCAGTTGCCTCACATTCTGTTACTTCAGTTCAAACTGGCAGAGTTCCACTCCTTCTCTCAGGAGCGGCCGGGGGCTCCTTACAGTACTAAACATTGGTACCTCACCAAAATGTCTATGCCTTCCACCTATGGAACTGCTTCGGAACTCAAGGCGGCGGGAGCAATATTCCCTTACGTGTTTCAATCACTGACCATCACCGAGCCAACAGATTGTGAACTGGATTTCTCCTGCATAGCCCGATCACATAGTTTCGTCGCAAAGCATGGGCATCCAGCTAGTATGTTATATTCAACAGAGCATGGAAACAATAATTGTTGCGAAGCGCTATCAGTCAGAGAAATGAACAGATGCTGGAGGGAAACAAGCATCACAAGGGGGGGGGGGACAATTGTTGTATGTTCCGTGAGTGTAGCAGTTGTTGCGTTGTCGGTGCAGATGCAGCCCAGCCTCCTCCCTTTAGCGTTCATACGCTATTGCCTCCTTCGTCCGTGGGAGCCGGGTGGGAGGTGTGCTGGAAGGGATCGCGGCTGCCCCCCCCCCTCCCGTGTGATTGAAGGCCTTGTCTGAATGGAGCCCTGGTGCTTATGGGAACAGAGAGCAGCTGTTGCCTTTTTTTCCTGTTCCTGGGACAGGAGCGGTTATGGCCTCCGTTCTCAGATTGCAAAGCCCAAGTGTTAAATCCTTATAGACAAGCAACATGGCACTATAGTTGGAAAGCTGCTGGCGCATATTTTGAAGCGGTTCCCAGGGAGGGAGCCGTGTTCGCTTGTGGTAGGGAAGAGCAGCGGAATCGTAAAAATAATTAAAACCGACAGAGACGTGCAGAGCAAATGGGATCCTTCTCCAACGGGGAGGATGCTCGGAACAGGAGGTCTATTTCATTTGCATTCCCTCTGGCTGGGCTAAAGGACATCGGGGCTGGATTGAACGAAAAAGGGAAGGGAAGGGAGAGGAAGGAAAGGAAAGGAGATGGAAGGGAAGGGAAGGAAGATTGTGGGAAAGGGAAAGGAAAGAAAGAAGGAAAGGAAAGGAAGATTGTGGGGAAGGGAAGGAGAGAAAGAAAGGAAAGGAAGATTGTAGGGAAGGGGAAGGAAGGGAAGGAAAGGAAAAAAAAATTAGGAGCGACATGATAGCAGTATTCCAGTATTTGAGAGGCTGCCACAAAGAAGAGGGGGGTCAAATTATTCTCCAAAGCACCAGAGGGCAAGCCAAGAAATAATGGTTGCAAAGTAACCAAAGAGAGAAGCAACTTGACATTAAAGAGAAACTTCCTAACAGTGGAACAGCTTGCCACCAGACATTGTGGGTGCTCCATCACTGGAGGTTTTTAAGAAGTGACTGGAGAGTTACTTGTCTGAGATGGTATAGGTTCTCTCCTGCTTGAGCAGGGGGCTGGATTAGAAGACCTCCACGGTCCCTTCCAGCTCTATCCTATTCTAAAATTCTATTCATACAACATGCTTACAAATACATACAAACCAGGTTTTCGAATGCAAGGATGAAACCACCATAGCCTTAAGTTGCACAGCATGATTTAAAAGGGGGGATGCGTTTCCCCCACAATGCAGGCCCCGGCAACTGCCAAGGGTCATTTTGCGAGAGAGAGAGAGATTTTAACTGATCCTAGCTTGATGCCAACCTAGGCCATAAGAATAATCTCCTTTTTGTTGTCACAACAACCCATTAAAATGATGTAATGGGATCCGACATGGAAGAATAATTGATTACGGTTGGGCAATGTAATTGTGCAAGTTTCCAGCCCTCTAAAAGGCATTTAAGTGTACAATGGTTCAGTGGTACAAATCATTCTCCATAACAACAAATATCCCTGCTTATTTAAATCTACACTACACAGACATCATAATTCACAGGGAAAGTATTTTCATGTTTATGGCTCTGCACAGCAGCACTGCACCCACTCAAGGAAGCCAATGAAGCCCTGGAGACAAAGAATTGTTACTAAGATCAGGGTTCGTATTCATTTTTCGGAGTATAAGACGCACCTTTTCCCCCCAAAAAGAGGGTGAAAATCTGGGTGCATCTTATACACTGAACACAGCATTTTTGGCCTACTGAAACCCAACCCTCTTCGCAAAAATTGATGTGCAAAGGGTTTGGGAGACTTGTAGAGTGCTCCTGGGGGCTGGGGAGGGAAAAAATGAATGAAAAACAGGTGATTTTTTGCTCGTTTTTGCCCTTCCAGCTCCCAGGAGCATTCTACAAGCCTCCTAAAGGCTATGCGTGCCCTTTTTTTGGCAAAAAACAGGCCCATTTTTGTGAAAAACAGGCCATTTTTGCTCATTTTTGCCTCCCCAGCCCCCATGAGCACATTGCAGGCCTCTCAAACTCTTTGTATGCCCAATTTTTCACAAAAATGAGGTGTGCAGAGGGTTTGGGTAGTTTGCAGAATGCAAAAACTTTTTTTAAAAAAAATTACCTCTTTAAAATCTTGGTGCGTCTTATACTCCAGTGTGTCTTATACTCTGAAAACTATGGTACTTTCCCTACCAGTTCGCAAAGGTGAGCACGCCCGCACCTTGCATGCACACGGCTTGAAAATGTGGCCAAATAGGATAGCATAGAGCAGATGTGCATGGACGGATCCACCCACGATTTCCACTACCGGTTTGGGCGAACCGATCCAAACCGGTTGATTACCACCTCTGCCTAAAATCAAACTCCGTTGCCCCTTGCCCAACAGGTCAAAGCACATGCCTCAGGATTGTTCACAAATGCCATCTAACTCGGTGGCATCTCCACAGCCTCTTTTGGACCTGATTCTTTAATTTTTAACATGACCCCCAAAAGAGAAATGATCTGGAGATGTGATGATCAGAAGGAATAACCTGGAGGAACAGGAAGAAGAGTTGCAACTAAAACAACCATCAGATAAAAGAAATATGAGGCTAGGGCAGAAATGTAATTTGAGAAAGCAGAGAAAACCTTCCCTAATTCCCATGAAGATAAGGAGTGGTGGCGGTGAAGCGCATGCAGACTTGCAAAATTCAGGGGTGTCAAACTGGATTTCTTCAAGGGCTGGGTCAGCATTCGGCTGGGGGGGGGGAGCAGGGGGGAAGATGGGATGGATACCTCCTATAGCACCCTCCTGAGGCCTCTGCATGGCCTGTTTTTGGCCATAAGATATTTTGGAGCCCGTCAGGCTGAAAACCACAATACTGGTGCTCTTAAATAATTCACGTCTCTTTTTGTAAGTTCTTTGCAAAGTTTTGAATCCTGGGTACAATGAAGCCTGTTTCATTCCAGCTCAGAGGATTAAAAAAAGGACAGGGAAGTCTTTTTTTAAAAAAAAACAACAGTTTTTTAAAAAAAATTGTTACACATTTTAACTTCTTTTATAAACAAAGTGTTGCTTGGGGTTTCCCCCTTTACATCTTCTCTTGTGCATAGTTCATTTTACATCATATTTCCATTTCCAATTTCAGCCGCCTTATTTTCTTTCCCTATTTTCCAAATTAGCTTTGATTTCTTCTTAATATATAAGCAATATCCTTATTTGCCCCTCCAAGTTCATCAAATTTAACATTTCATTTCCATCTATTATTCTGTTTTACTATCAGTAACATATATCCTCAAATTAAATTTTGTATAGTAAACATTTCACTTAGTTGATTATCCACAATTAACAGTATTAATCTGTTTCCCTCACATCATATTAATTGTATACCATTGGTAATATTACCGTATTTCGTTCTATTCTAAGGGGAAATCCTTTTTCTTCTTTCCTCCTTTCAACCATTTTCTCTTAGTCTCTCAGGAATTCCACTTCTCTTATATTGGGAAGTCTGAATGAGTATGCCTGCTGTCACATGTCCGTCACAAGCAGAGCTACCATATTTTTCAGAGTATAAGATGCACCTTTTTCCCTCAAAAAAGAGGCTGAAAATCTGGGCGTCTTATACACTGAATACAGTACTTTGTGACTCCCGAAACACCACTCCCTTTACTAAAATGGCCATGCAGAACCTTTAGGAGGCTTTCAGAGTGCTCCTGGGGACTGGGGAGGGCAGAAATGAGCAAACAACAGGTCATTTTTTGCTCAATTTTGCCGCCCCAGCCTCCAGGAGCACTCCATAAGTCTCCTAAAGGCTATGCATGCCCTTTTTTGCCTCTTCAAAACCTTGGTGCGTCTTATACTCCGAAAAATACGATAGCTGCTACTAGATCAATAAGTAGGCTGATCTAAAGACTTCCTTGGTTTGGCTTCAGTTTTTTCAATCTTATCTTCAGGACTTCTCATGCATGTTGAACCTTTTAAATAAAAAACAGAATTTGTGAATAGTTAGGAATCCCCCTCAATGCAGATAGCATTAACCCCCATTCTTTCACTTGACTCCTCCACAGGGACCAAGATCGTTTCCAAGAACATCACCGCGATGGTTGGAATGGACCTGGTGCTACCTTGCCAACTCACCTCCAACCTTGCTAAGGCCCTTTGGACCTTCAATGGGCAGGACCTGGTGGAGAGCCAAGCTTCGGTTGTCTATGATGCTCACCTTCAGGCACTGATTGTCTTGGATATCCGCTTGAAGCATTCTGGATTGTACAAGTGCATCCAGCTAGAGGAGATGAATGAATTAATGACGGAGAGTTACCAGGTCACTGTGTTGGCTGATCCAGCCATGTCGCTGGAGACCCGGGCTCCCTTGGACAACTTGGGCCTGGTTTGGGTGGTGGTGATTGCTCTCTCAGCCATCTGTGTGGTCCTCCTGCTCGTGGTCTTCTCCCTGAGGCGCAGGCTGAAAGAAGAACGTGAAAAAGGCTCCAAGGCCATTGAAAGCACCCTTGTCTACCCCATTGAGATGCCCAAAGAGCCTAAGAGCCCTACTTTTATTCCCAGCACTACTTCAGACTCGGATGAGAAGCTCTGGGACCCTGCCAGCTACTACTACTCGGATGGCTCCCTCAAGATTGTCCCGGGTCACGCGGTGTGCCAGAATGGGGGCACCACTCCCTCGCCCACCACAAACGGCATTCCTGGCCAACCCTTGCAGTCTCCCCACCTCCACTCGCCAAACCGCATCAACCTGAGCAACATCCGTGGCTCGTCTTCCAATGGCTATATCCGCCTCAATTTGGGCACCGAGGAGCGGCCGGACTACAGTGACTTGGCCGAGGAGCTGCGTCGGAAGTTGAAGCAGAGGCAAGCTCTGCCTGACTCGAATCCCGAGGAGTCTTCAGTATGAGCTGCCCTGTGGACTTGGACCAATTACTCAACTACCTCATCTCCTAGGCCAGGGTCGCGACCCGCCTCAAAACGACTCTCTCTTTTTAAGACAAGACTCTGGACACTTTTGTAACAGGCTTTCCTCACATCCCTCTATTTTGATACACACTGCCGAGAAGACCCCTTTCCCTCACAGCTCCCGCCTTGTTCAGTGTTCTCCACTGTGCTTCCTTTTTGGGACTGTTCTGGGACTATTGTTGAGCGGTGGTCTTCATTCCTTCATCTTTGGATGTTGAGTCCGAGCCTTTTAGAGACTTGCCATGGGCATGGAGACCCCCGAGCCGAACTCACTGTCCTGTTTCAGATCTGCATGGGGGATGGGGTTGACATGATCGTGCGAAAAGCAAGCTTGAGTTTTGTTCCCCACGGCATGGTTGCAGTTGGCTTCCTAGCGGTTGTTGCCATGTTTTCTCTCTTCTTCCTGCCTTGACTGCAAGAGTTGGACTCTGCGGTAGTGATTCTCCCCAAAAGGGTAGTGATCAGGATGGGGGAAAACCAGCCCCTGCCCCAAAATAGGACCCCTTTGGGGAAAAGGGGACCTCAGAAAGACAGGTGTCCTCAGGGACAAGGTGTGTGTTGGGAAGCTCAACCAAAGACAAAGGCGTATGTTGGGGACTGGGGAACACTCTTAGCCATAGCTTGGCCTCCTTTCTTACAGCTACATGTAAAGTGAGGCACACTCAACCCACCCAAGAGCTTTCCTTTCCCAGCAGTGGATGGGGCACCTTTGGGAGTGTGTGTGATAAACACTTGGTCCTGATGTCTTTCTGGGGGAGCTACAGGAGGTCTGAGGTCGCTGGAGTAGTGGAGAGGTAAAACTTTCCAATCAATTGTTCAGGGGTTTTACAGAGATGTTTTTGCGGCTCCCTTATAGTCTCCTCGCATCTTCACCGAAAGATAAAGGCATCCCAATGTTTCCATCCCATCCATTTTGGGGACCTCTTTGGATCACGTGCAAAGGAAGGGATTGACCTTCCAAGAGAGTGGAGTAAGGCAAGCATTGGGGGGGGGTCAGTCCCACATGGCACACTCTCTGCTAATGCCTTGCACATTCCCTTGGCAGGAGGGTTGCCCCGCCTCTTCCACCAACACCCTCCCTCCAAAAATGTACCACCGGATACTTTGTATCCTCTGGCCTGTCTCCTTCATTGTGCCCCAAGCTCCCTTTCCTGAAGGATACACACAACTACAGGAAGTTTAAGTGTGCTGTTGCACGCTCACTCGTGGCCATGAGTGCAATGGTCATCGTCGGGTCGGGTTAAGGGAAACAAGTGCCATCACATGTTCCATCCCACAAATTACATTCTTGGCATCCTTCAGTGTCATAATACATGTGACATTCTGTTCCTACCAGTCAATCGGCGTTTGTGTGTGTGTGCTTGTGTATGAGTGTGTTTGTGTGTGTGAGAGAGAGAGAGAGAGAAGGGCTTTCTCCACCCAAGGCGCTTCCCTGGGTCAAGCGAAGACTTTTGCAGATGGCAATCACCCAACTTGTGAATCAGTTGGTGGGCCATCTTGGTTCATTTAAGGTAATGGCCAAACCCAGCCACCTATACAGTGAATTTAGGGGTTCCCTATATTGGGCGAATCCAGAATGTCGTTGAAATCGTCCACGAGGTTAAAGGCAGTGGTGTACGATGCTGCCGGTTAAACAACCGGTTCGGTGAGCGTGTGCTTAAAGCCCTTGTGCACAGCGCTGAAAATGGAGCATTTAGAAGCTCAGCTGCTTACCTTCCAACAGTAAATAAAACAGCGAGGTTGGAGGAAATCAGCAGTGCTCCGTGATTGAGTTGAGCTTGAAAGCTGGAAATAAAGGACAGAATAGGGCACGGGCGGGTGGGTGGGGCCAACTGATCATTGGCGCTATCGGTCTGCCTAAACTGGTCCGAACCGGCTGAATGCCATCTCTGGCTAAAGGTATTGTGGCATTGTGTGCATACAATCAGAGAGCGGGAAAGAGAATTGTGCTTTCGAAAGAAAGGAACGGAGCCGGATTCCTCCACCCACCCACCCCCTTTTCCATGGGGAGCATGCAATTCCCTACTACATTCATTTCAACCCCTGCGTTGAAATCATCTGTGTTGACCCCTCACCCCCTCTTGTATCCCGCATGCTTTTCATGCCACCGTCACCGGATGTTCGTTTCTCCTTCTTCCTGAAAACACTACTTATGTACATAAAGGAACACGCTCTCTTGTTTCCCCAGCTGCCCTGAAATGTAATTTATTTGTTATTAAAATGTATTTATTTGACAGAAATGTACAAATATTTTTATACTAATAATAAAATGACAAAAGAAGAAAGGGGGGGAAAAACCAGGTTTGTTGTGCTGTGTGCCTAGTGGTTAATCTCCCTCCCAGTCACCCATAAGAGAGCATTTAACATTTATCTACCACTTCACAATGCTTTACAGTCCTATCTAAGCAGTTTACAGAGTCAGCCGGTTGCCCCCAACAATCTGGGTCCTCATTTTACTCACCTTGGAAGAATGGAAGGCTGAGTCAACCTTGAGCCAGTCAGGATCGAACTTCCTGGCTGTGAGCAGAGTTAGCCTGCAATACAGCATTCTAACCACTGCACCACAGTCCATCCTTCCATACGTATGTCCCAACCAATAACACTTAGACTTATATACTGCTTCACAGTGCTTTACAGCCCACCAGGCTGAAAAATGCAATATCTGCGCTCTCAAATAATTCATGTTTGTTTCTATAAGTTCCTTGCAAAGTTTCGAATCCTGGGTTCAATTAAGTCCATTTCATTCCAGCTCAGAGGATTAAAAAAGGGACAGGGAATAGCACTTAGACTTATATACCGCTTCACAGCACTTTACAGCCCTTCTCTTAAGTGGTTTACAGAGTCAGCCTGTTGCCTCCAACAAACTGGGTCCTCGTTTTAATGACCTCACGAAGATGTCAGGCTGAATCAACTTTGAACCTGTGAGAATCAAACTGCTGACGGTCGGCAGAATTATCCTGCAATACTGCATTTTAACCAGTTGTGCCACCACGGTTCTTCGATGCTGAATATTTATGCTGCTTTGGGGGTTATCTATGCTCCACAGCTCTACCGGGGCTGAATTGGACCAGAAAGAGTAACTAGATGACCTCTGAAGTCCCTTCCAACTCTATTCTATTCTATGTTCTAATTGGGAGGGACGTGGTGGCTCAGTGGCTAAGCCGCTNTCAACCTTGAGCCGGTGAGATTTGAACCGCTGACCTGCTGATCTAGCAGTAGCCTGCAGTGCTGCATTTAACCACTGCGCCACCTTGTACCTGTGAGTTTCAGCTGCCACCTTACTCTTGCTTGTACTCCCGCTACTACGGGGTGACAGACTGCCATGAACTGTGGGGAGGGGGATGTTTGGATGGATGACATCCATGAACTGTGAAGAGGGGGGGAATGCTTGGGTGGGTGACAGACTCCCATGAACTGTGGGAAGTGGGGAATGCTTGGGGAAATGAATCTAAGTGCTGTATCTCCTTGAGAAGCTGCCTCAAGATCACTCAGCTAGGAAAAGGAAGGGGCCATATACCCTCTTGGAGGTTACGAAAACAGTAATAATTGCAGTAATGCAATATATTTGATCTCTAATCAACTATAACTTTCTCAACAAATGGAGCCAAGGATCATTTTTATTCAGAATTGTGGCAGATCTGACAGTGAGTCTGGATTTGGTCCTTTTCTTTCTAAATTCGTAGATCAGTGTTTCTCAACCTTGGGCACTTGCCGATGCTTGGACTTCAACTCCCAGAATTCCCCAGCCACCTGGCTGAGGAATTCTGGGAGTTGAAGTCCAAGCATCGGCAAGTGCCCAAGGTTGAGAAACATTGCCTTAAATCAGGAAGCAGCAACCCGTGGCTCTGGAGCCGCATGTGGCTCTTTCACCCCTCTGCTGCAGCTCCTTGTCGCCGGTTGGCTCCACAACAGATAGGGCTTTCGGTTAGGACAGGTAGAGGAAAAAGAATGCCGCACTAGGAGGAGACTCTATGGTGGGGGGAACCAGACTTCTGGTGGGGATCCAGAATTGAACAGGGGGCTTTCGGTTAGAACCTTTGCAGCTCTTTGAGTATGTCTTAAATTATTCCTCAGGGCTTATTGCTTAGCCTTGTTCTATTTCCCACACACCCCAAATGATACGACGGATTTGTTTTCGGCTTTTACAGGACCTCTATATTGTTCCAAGATTTGGGCATGGAGCCCATGATGTGTAACCCCTTGCGTTCTTCAAGACCAGGTCAGTCCTCCAGAGTAACAAATGTCCACCCCTTGGGTGATTTTCACTGCTTCCTCCTCTTTGATTACGTGTGTGGCAGGGGTGGCATTCACATACTTTCCCTACCAGTTCATAAATGTGAGTCCACACATCTACTCGGGTGCTTTGGCTTGAAAATGTGCCTAAATGGGACAGCATTGAGCCAGGGCGGGTGGGCTGGGCTATCTGTGATTTCCACTACCGGTTCGGGCAAATCGATCTAAACTGGCTGAATAACTCCTCTGGTGTGCAGCGTGCGAGAGTTTTATACCTATTGACTTGAGTGTCTTGAAGATAAATCCTGAAGCAGCTCTTATTAACACAATGGCGGCCTTTTGAAAAGCTAGCTCAAGGACTGCGATGTAGATTGGCTTTTCAGCTGGAACACTATATATTTACATATACATAGACAGACAGACAGACAGACAGACAGACAGATAGATAGATAGATTGATTGATTCGTAGATTTTCATGGGTACAGGTATGCAGGTCTTGGCGTATTCGGGTCTTTTCCTGTTAAGATTGAGAGTATCTTAACATTTCGACGAGGTCCCACTCGCCATCTTCAGGCTGGTGCCTTCGGCTTTGTGCTTGTGCCAAGATACTCTAAATCTTACATGGGAAAAGACCCAAATACGCCAAGACCTGCATGCGCATATACATATACACATATATATATATACACACACACGCACATACATATACACGGACATACATACATACATACATACATACATACATACATACATACATATATGTAGATAGATAGGGAGGGAGGGAGAGAGGGAGAGAGAGAAACCCCAGTCATTTATACCTAGAAGTCTAGGATCAGCCACACGAACACAGTGGTGCCTTTTGTTGTCTGAACAGTTTGGTGTGGTGGGTTAGGAGGATGTGTGGTTAGGGGGTCCTTTGGCTTTGACTGGCGGAGTGAGTCAGAATGAACTTTCAGCAGGATCAAAAGTGTAGCCTCTCGTGCAAGCAGCCCTGTGATTGCAACCGTTTTCTCACAGCGGCTGGGGTGCTCATGGCAGACAATACCGCATAGCATTACCTGCGCATCAAACGCAGGCTGCAGGCTCATAGCTCATAAACTAGAGAACAGGGACGTGCACCACATTCTTAGCAACTGGCAACCCTGCAGCGCAGGCTTCGTTGGCTGCTTTGAGTTTTGATCGTTCTCTCTCTCACTCTTTCTCTCCCTCCCTCCCTGTCTCTCTCTCTCTCAATCTCTTTCTCTCTCTCCCTCTTTTCCTCTCAATCTCTTTCTCTCTCTCCCT